AAAATTGGTACATCGTGATATTATTATCAAACTTAGATCGAGTTCGAAAAAGGGCAATATCGGTCCACTCCTTCTTATACCTCCATCACAGAAAGTCAAAATTTTGGCAAAATATTATTTACTTCACAGAACAAATCCTAATATAGAAAAATAGAATTGCAGTACCTCCTCCACAAAGGATCAAAATTTTGAATAATGTTATATATATATATATATATATATATATATATATATATATCTCAATGAGCGGCTTACTCCTTCTGGTTTAACTATTGTGCAATTTATAGAGAAGGGAGTGCGTATTTCCCATTTCTATAATTATAATTATTCAAAATGTTGACCCTTGGTTGGTGGTACTAGAAGGAGTGGATTGATATTTCCCATATTCACGCCTTGCGTTGGAAAAATATCACATTTTATAAGAGTTATAATTACGCCAAATTTGTGCGGGGAGGTACTTGATAGGATGGACCGATATTGTCCACTTTAACACCTGACCGAGCATTGAATCAAATATTAGGATTTGTAAAGTTGGAGAAAAATCGGATTATCCTTTCTATTTCTGTGCAGTATTTTTTTTTTAAATTGCGGCGTTTTTGGTTAGGTGCCAGAAGAAGTAGGCCAATATTACCTATCTCCAAACTTGGTCTAGATTGATAATAATATTACGATGTACGAAGTTTGGACCAAATCGGTTACTCCCTTCGAGAGTTATCGTGCGCACAAGACAGCCAAACAGACAGACAGGTTTGAGAATTTCGACCTTTTGTGAGGGAGCTACCAGAAGGGGTGGACCGATATTTCCCATCGCCGAACTCGATCTAAGTTTCATAATAATATTACGATATACCAAGATTAAACCGAATCGGATACTCCCTTCCAGAGTTATCGTGTACAGCAGCCAACAAATAGACGAACAGACAGACGAACGGACAGACGAACGGAATACACTAGATCGACTCCAAATGGTCTGATTCGAATTTGGTTTAAAGATACCTAGGGTGTAAAACCGTTATTTCGATGAAGCTCGTTTTGGCCATATCAAATGATAAACCAAGAAACTCATTAAACGCAAAATTAACATTCGATTGGTACATCTCAATATTTTTATCAACACAAGATTTGATATACAGATGGTAAAAATTGGATCATTTCTTCTAGTACTCACCTCACCTCACCCAAAGTTTTGAATAACCAAAACGGTCATAAAATCCGAAATAAGCATCCGGTGCTCTTCATATTTCCCACATCCCATTACTTTTACAACAACACAAGATCTGCTGTGAAGATGGGATATATCGTACCTCCCCTAAATAGGGTTCAAAGTTCTAAAAAAACGCCCAAAGAAAGCGAAACATCCATCCACTTCCCTTCAAATTTCACACACACAAACATTTTTGCTGCTTGATATATACTGCTTGATCAATACTTTTATCTGTCATAACTTGCGAAACAAGTCAGCGATTCTTCATTCTGAATATGGAATTTATGATTTCGCATAACATGTTCGATTTTCTTGTAATTTCTATCTGTAGTAGGTGAAGTATGAAAATGGAATACTTCGGTCGGCTATATCTGTTACCGCACGCATATACATATTTCGATCGAGTAATGCGCAAAGAGGTTGTATGTTTTTTTCATTTTTTCAGAGGGTTTTTTCATTTTTTTTTTCAAACAAAGTCAACAGATTTTGTAAATTTAAATTTTAATTAGCTCATATGACACTTAGACCCTTTGATTCCCAGAACTAAGAAAATGTTCCAAACACTTATTGGAAATTTTTACCTGATAATATCAATTTCACGTATTATCACATCGATTACAATTATTCCATAAATTAACAAATATCAATTATTATTTCCCTTATCAGATCGACCAGTAATAGCCTCTAATTGTATTATTAACTAATTTTACAATATTATCGCGCTTAATTACCTGTCTTGCTAAACAGAGGTGGCAAACATGGCATGACAATGCAGAATTATATTAATTCAGAATTGTAGAACCTTCACAATGAATTAACTGTCATATGGAATCTCTCATTCAGGTTGCCATACCTCTCAATGTTCGTCTGAAAGGTCCATAATCACGTGAAATGTTATATAAATTTATCCATGACCGCCGTCTGTTATTAGCATTAAATATGTTTTGATTTCTTTATATTTGGCTGGAAAACTACAAGTGGCTATCGTTAGATCACTCCAGCATTTAAATGTGAATAAATCGTTTGTGTCTCGTACCATCGCTCGTTACCGTGATACTGGTGGCGTAGCCCGACGTCAAGGAAGTGGACGGAAGAAAACAGCAACATCAGCAGAAATTTAGTTAAGAAGTGACTTGATTGAAACCCGCATCGCAGTGGCCGAAAAATGACTCGTGAGCTGAACATATCGCAATATTCCATTCGGCAAATATTGAAAAATAAGCTCGGGGGGCAAAAGAGCTAAAGAGTTGCTTCGCTTGGCCGAAAGTGTTGAACTGCCGAATTTGGTTTTCTCCGATGAGAAAACATTTGTTGTCCAGCAGTTTGTAAACAAACAAAAATATCGTGTTTACTTGCCAAAGAGGTCAGCTGAAAATGTGCACCTTCGGTTGGCCACCACAACTCAAGCACCGGACATGATGATGGAGTGGGCTGCCATAACAGCTGTTGGTCGCCATAACAGGTCGCATCAGAATAAATGCCAAATGTTATCGTGAAAATATTCTGGAGGGTGTATTAAAGCCTTGGGCACGCAAACATTTTGGTCGCAGAACTTGGACATTCCAACAGGACTCAGCACTATTGCACTCAGCACGCGCCACCAAAGAATGGTTACAAAATGGGGTTCCTCGCTTCATGTGAAGCGCACAATGGCCAATCTCCGGATACCAATCCGTTGGGCCATTGTGTCTGGAGTATTTTGGAAAGCAAGGTTGGCACTAAAAAATACCAAAGTGTCTATCACCTCAAGCAAGCGCTTCACCGGGAATGGGCCGAAATACCGCAGAACAACATTAGAGCAGCGTGTAACGGTTTGATTGGCCATTTGAAGGCCATTATTCATGCCAAAGATGACCAATTCGAAAAAATCTGAACTTGTTCTAAAAGTGATGCTATTTCCGACATTTTTTGCTGTCATGCAATAAAATTTAAAAAAAAGTGAAAAATTATGAATTTGTTTGAAGTTCCTAATAAGTACTAAAGGCTGTGACAGAAAGCTGTCTATGCAGGTCCAGGTCTTCGTTTAGGCCCGATATATATTCGGTATTTTTTTAAGATTTTAACAGAATATTTAACGGATTTTATTATGTTTATTTATTATTATTATAGTTTTTGTTTTTTTTTTTTTAATTTCCAAATTCGTTTCAAATTTTGGAGGGTCTTCAAAGTTCTGCCAGGCCCAACTTACAGTTCTTTTGCTTGTTTTGTAATAATTTAAACAAATTTCCATAGCTTTAATACCATTTAGTATACATAAGTACGAATTCCCAAAACTTCCTGCATACCCACCCCTACAATGCAATAGTAATCTCATTTCCAAACTTCAGGATTGCAGCTCTACCGATTGTCCCAAAATTTAAATAGTATCAACTTCAGTACTATTTTGTACACATAAGTACGAATTTTCAAAACAACCTACATGCCTCAATCCTACAATGCAATAGTAATCATATTTCCAAACTCCAGGTTTCCAAATATATTTGTTCACCCAAAATTTAAATTGTACCACATTCAGTACCTTTTAGTACACATTAGTACAAATTTTCAAATTTCAACATTCCAGTTCTATCGGTTCACCCTAATTTAAGTTTACATAAATTTCCAATGTTATCTCTATGTCCCAATCCTACAAACCAACTGTAATTTTTATCAAAATTTCAGGTTCACCCAAATCCAAGTAGTACCAATTGCAGTGCATTTTGTCACTTTTCCTACACATATGGTGTCAATTTCCAAAAACTCTTTGGTACATCTATCATACACTCTGAGGATTACTAACCTCATTCCAAATTTAAGAGTTCTGGCTCTACTGCTTTCTCAAATACAATGGGTATCATATTTAGTACCTTTTAATATTTTTCGTATTTTCCGTTTTAAGAACGTGCAATAAGAATGTAACATAGGCCAGGTGCTGTCGACAATCCCTCTGATTTTCTATTTTATTTACTCCAATTAAATTTAATTTCCCATTTCCTCTTTTCCACGCCACTGTCTCCAAAAAGGTTAACATTTAATCCAATAAGAATAAAATATCAAAGTTATCCAACCATCAACGTTCCACTTAACAAAGATAACAACTCTTGCCTCACACAGGCAAATACACACACACACACAGAGAAAATTCAATCAAGTCAAGGATATTCACAAATGAATAAACACAGCACACAAGATCACAATTGAATATCTGGCAACAAAACAAAAAAAGAAGCGAACATAAAAAATAACGGTAAAAGCCAGACCGGTGAAAGGAACACGAAAATAAAAATTTTATTATTTCAGGGCACACAAAGGCAGTCGACAAAGAAAAATATGTAAATAAAATCAAATAAAATAATTGAAAAAAATAATAATAACAACAATAAGAACAAGAAATGGGGTGCAGGGCTGCCAATTAAGTTGTCAAAAAAACGAAAGGAAAATGCGATAAAGGAAATAATAGAAAACAATGAATGCATTACCAACATACTCAAATTTATACTGCCAACAAAAGAGAGAGAGGGAGACAGGATGGGGTATAACAGTATAATAAGGTTTGTGTGTGTGTGAGTAACAGAAGAGGAGTATCACGTGCCGTATATATAAATACTTCCACACGCACACCACATTTTTTCTACCCACACCAATACTGTTAAGGCAAGGAAACTACCATGGCCGCCACAACGGGCTTGATGAAATATGGGCAGGAGAAACAGACCAACCACCGCCAAGCAACCCTTAAAATTCACACACACACTCACACGCATACAATGGCAAATGCGCAATCCTCCAATGCTGCAAAAAATGTCACACACACACACACGCACGCACACAACCACACATTGTGTGAGCAGAATAATATTCGCACAGGATAACAAGGCTGTTGGTTCACGGGGTTCACAAGGTTCAGTTCGATTTTTGAACGAAACGCGTTTACAAGTCTCGCAGTACGCAGACTTGCAGCGACTCATACACAAGGATAGTTATTCCAAAAAAAATTGCGTGAATTGGAAATATTACATAAAATTAAATTTAATTATTAAATTAAAAAAAAATAATTAAAAAAAAAAAACAAAATAAAATAACTAAGACAAAATTAAACACAAATCTAGAAAACTGTGATTTTTTTCGTAAACTTCTAAACCACAAAAATAAATTGTCCCAACCTATGTTTAAAAAATGCTTTTGAGTCGGAATTCATCATCGGTAGCCTCGCATGAAGATGCGTCCACGACTTTTGCCAATGCCACAGCAGCAGCGGCCACTCAAATAGCCGCAAATGCCAGCGAAACAGATCAGCACCTGACCTACTCTCAACACGCTCAACAAATGCAGCAGCAGCAGCAGCATCATCATCTGAATCATCACCATTTGACCGTGGCCGGGCGTCAGCAACAACATCAAATGTGTTGTCACCAATGTGGAAATTTGATTCAAATCCAAAATTTAAAAGAAAATAATAAATACGACAATTTGAAAATGGCCGACATGAAATGTGAAAAGTGTAAAACTGTAAATCGAAAAGTGCGAAAATCGGCAATGAAAGCCAACCGAAATCAAAGTGTTAATTGTGAAAACAGTGAAAATGGGAAAAGTGGTCGCAATACAAATAATAACAACAACAGCAATGAGGATAACGATGACGCCGCCACCGATGGTGACAATGATTTGGATGAGGACAACGATGACCTGGATGAAGATGCTGCTGACATTGGCATCGATGAGGATATAGACATGGATGATATGGATCACGACGACGAGGACGATGATGTGGATTTGGTCCATGAGGATGAAGATGAGGAGCTAACTACACGTATACCAAAAGTGGAAAATATTTCGCCGATACCCAATACCACGACTCTGTTAAAGGATAACAGCAGTAAACCGATATTGAAATTTAGCGTTTCGGCAATATTGGGTGATACGCGCGAAGGAGTACGAGTGCGAAATGGTAAGTGTTTTATGAAAATGTTGGATGAGGACATTGTGACCTCATCGTGGAACAAATAATGATGACGATATAAGACATCCAAATAATGAAAACTTGACTTAAGGGCAAATCTCTATCTTCAAAATTTGGGAAAACCTTTAGCTGGGAGGCTAAACCGATGTTGAATATGACAGGAGTCAACCGACCTTCAAAGCCACTGAACTATGAAATAACAGCTGGTTTTGTTTGGAAATGGGAGCCAAAGCTTCAAAAAATTCATCTGGGGGTACCATTGTGCTAGGATTATAACATGAGAGGACCTACATTAAATATATTTTTGCGTGGAGTTAATCTACACACTGAGAACGGAAAACGTTCCCAAATACCTAAAATCGGGATCGATATATTCCATATTTAATACCACACATCCTAGAAATAATAAAAATACCTGGGCAAATTTAAAAAAAATATAAAAGGCGATCTCTATTGAGTTTTCAACACACGGACAAAAAACGGAGATACATGGGAGTATATCTAAATTCAGATAGAATTTTACGCTGACAATGAATAGGTGTTAGTGTTGCAAACTAAATGACAAAATAAATATACCCTCCTATTTATGGCTAAGGTTTTAAAAAAGCAGCTGGAAAAAGTCAAAAGTCGGGCGGGACAGACTATATGATACCCTACACCACTATGCTTATTTAGTAGAGCTACCGTAACAAAAGAATTTTTTGAAGTAAATCAAACCACCGATCAACCTATGGCTCTAGAGTAATTATAATTTGGTTTCAGTGGGAACTAAGATATGGGAGGAATATCCAATTCTGCATCGATTTTCACTAAATTTCACGGAGACATTTTAATTTTTTGTACCAAATAACAGTGCTATAGCGTCCAAGGTTAAAAAAAAAGTTCAATTCCGAGTTCCACAAAATGGAAACGTACGCCGCGAAATTCACTCCATTTGTGCTGATATTAGCCATTATTTGCACAATAAACCTGAAATAGGATTAAGGATATTTAGGAGATATATCCAAATATATCCAAATTGTAGCCGATCTCAATAATATTTAGCAAAGGTATTTCAGAGCTCAATAAGATATCTGCTTCCAAATATTATTGTTGTCGAATACAAGGGACTTAAACATCAAATCGGATGAAACATATATATCAGAACCGATTTTCATGTACTTGCTTCTAGACTGATTTCGGTCCGATGTGCTGAAATTCTGGTTATTTGGACTGATATTTTCCATTTGGTGCACAATTACGCCGAAATCGACTTGATATATATGGGAACTATATCCAAATCTGAACCGTTCTTGATACAATTTGGCAGAGGTATTTCTGGGCTGTATCTGATATCTGGTACTACGAATGCATATTACGAATGTGGGAGACGTAAACATCAAATCGGATGAAACATATGTATAAGAGTTATAGCTATATCTGAACCGATTTTCACCAAATTTGATGTACTTGCTTCTAGACTGAATTCGGTTGGATGTGCAAAAATTCAGGTCCTTTGGACTTATTTTGGTCAAATTTGATGTGCTTATTTCTAGACTTAATTCAATCGGATGTGCCGAAGTTCAGGTCATTTGGACTTATATTGCACAATTAACCCGAAATCGGCTGAAGATATTATGGGAGCAATACCTAAATCTGACCTGATTATCACCAATTTCAATAGCGTTCGTCCTTGGGTCAAAGAAATACTGTTTGGAAAATTTCATCTCAGTCGGATAATAAATCCAACCTGTATTTTGTTCACAAGAATACATGGACAAACGGACAGACAGATGAACTGACATGCATAAACCGACTCAGAAAGTGATTCTATGAAAATTCTCAATAGTAACTATGGGTCTATCTCGCATCCTTCCTTCCTTTTTAAATAAAAGTATCTCAAACATCAAATTAAAAACAATTCCGTCGGAAAATGTAGCTGGGTTCATTAAAACATTGCGTATCGGTACCCGTTATGTGGAAACCATGGACCATTATAGACATTGTTCTGACACCAGTTGTGAAATCCATTATTAACTACAATACCATATTTGTAGGTCATAATGGGTTCTAGCTCCGGCGGCGGAAAATAGTACAGGGTGAGATAAAAAACTGCAACAAAGTCAAACGCCATAATTTTGACATTTTTTTTTTTTTAATTTTATTGAATGAAAGCAAAAAATGTCGGAAATAGCATCAGATTTGTTCGAACTTGTCACCTTTGGCACGAATTATAGCCTTCAAACGGCCACCGAAACCATCACACGCTGCCCGAATGTTGCTCTGCGGTATTTTCCCGGCGAAGCGCTTGCTTGAGGTGATTGACACTTTGGTATTTTTTAGTGCCAACCTTGCTTTCAAAAATACTCCAGACACAATAGTCCAACGGATTGGTAAACGGAGATTTTGGTGGCTATTGTGCGCTGGAAATGAAGAGAGAAACCTCATTTTGTGACCATTCTTGGGTGCCACGTGCTGAGTGCGATGGTGATGAGTCCTGTTGGAATGTCCAAGGTCTGGGAACAAAATGTTTGCGTGCCCAAAGCTTCAATACAACCTCCAGAATATTTTCGCAATAATATTCGGCATTTATTCTGATGTCACGGTCGATTAATACGAGCGGAGAGCGACCATCGGCTGTTATGGCGGAAGGAGCACATTTTCAGCTGACCTCTTTGGCAAGTAAACACGATAATTTTGTTTGTTTACAAACTGCTATTTTCTCATCGGAGAAAACCAAATTCGGAAGTTCACAACTTTCGGCCAAGTGAAGCAACACTTTAGCTCTTTTGAGTCTATTTTCTTTCTGTAGCGGTGTAAGTTCTAGCACTTTTTGGAATTTCAATGGCTTTACCCCGAGCTCATATTTCAATATTTGCCAAATGGAATATTGCGATATGTTCAGCTAACGAGCCATTTTTTCGGCCACTGTGACGCGAAATCAGCGTCAAGTCGCTTCTTTACTTTTCGAACCATTTCTGCTCATGTTATTTTTCGTCCGCTTCCTGGACGTCGGGCTACGCTACCAGTATCACGGTAACGAACGATGGTACGAGACACAAAAGATTTATGCACATTTAAATGTTGGAGTGATCTAACGATAGCCACTTGTGGTTTTCCAGCCAAATATAAAAAATCACAATATCTCGCTTGAATTCCGTCACGAATAACTTTTTTCTGTATTAGGGTTAGGACATGTTTACATTTTAAGCAGTATTATAATTATAAATAAATAAAAAAAAAACATTAAATTAAATAAATTAATAAAAGTATCTCAAACACCAAATCAGAAAAATTCCGTCGTAAAATGTAGTTGGGGTCATTGTTCTGATACCGGTTGTGGAACTAAAAATACCGTATTTGTAGATCATAATGGGTTCTATCTCCTGTGTCAGAATATTATATATAGGTGGACGTTTTGGTGGAGGGTATTAACTAGAAACACCGTATTTGTAGGTCATAATGGTTTCTAGCTCCGGTGGCGGAATATTATGGGTTGCCCATATTCGACGGACCCATCTGGCAACGCCATAACTTTTGAAAGAGATGTCACATCGCTTAATGACATACCGCGTTTGAAGCGTCAGTCCAAGCAGATTTTTACCATGAACCAATACACGCCACGCGAGCGCTCTGAAATAGTTGAAATTTACATTCAACAGAAGAAGTCAATTGTGAAAACTCGACGTGCTTTTAAAACATTAAAAAATGTGAGAAGTGCGCCTTCTAAGAACACCATTAAGCATTTATACGAAAAATTTTCGACTGGTAAGGCTCTTTCTAATCCGAAGAGGCCATATAAAAGTCGACCAAGGCGATCGGCCGAGAATATCGCTGCCGTACGAGCCAGTGTTGAGAGGTCCCGAAGAACATCCCAAAAACGCCGTTCTCAGCATGACTCGGTCCACTTTACAACGGATTATTCGCATTGATTTGCATTTGTTCCCGTACAAAATTCAATTGACGCAAAGAATGTTGCCTGCGGACAAGCCTCGTCGATTAAAATGGGCCCAAAGGGCACAAAGATCCGTCGAATATGGGCAACTCTGTATATAGGTGAACGTTGGGGTGGAGGGTGGAGGGTATTAAAGCTAAGCCATATTATTTGTATTATTAGTGTTATTATACCCTTAGTCAAAGTGTATATATCTTTTGAAACGTCAAAAACGTGCCTCATCGAAATAACGGTATCGGTATCTCTTTGGACCACATCCGTTTCAGGACATGGCGAGTCGATTTTGGGATGTCTGTCCGTTCGTCTGCCTGTTTGGCTCACTCCGAACGAATCCGACTCATATTTTTTAGTTTTTTTATTATTTTTATTATTACTTATTTTTATTATTATTATTATTATTATTATTATTATTATTATTATTATTATTATTATTATTATTATTATTATTATTATTATTATTATTATTATTTTATTATTATTATTATTATTATTATTATTATTATTATTATTATTATTATTATTATTATTATTATTATTATTATTATTATTATTATTATTATTATTATTATTATTATTATTATTATTATTATTATTATTATTATTATTATTATTATTATTATTATTATATTATTATTATTATTATTATTATTATATTATTATTATTATTATTATTATTATTATTATTATTATTATTATTATTATTATTATTATTATTATTATTATATTATTATTATTATTATTATTATTATTATTATTATTATTATTATTATTATTATTATTATTATTATTATATTATTATTATTATTATTATTATTATTATTATTATTATTATTATTATTATTATTATTATTATTATTATTATTATTATTATTATTATTATTATTATTATTATTATTATTATTATTATTATTATTATTATATTATTATTATTATTATTATTATTATTATTTTATTATTATTATTATTATTATTATTATTATTATTATTATTATTATATTATTATTATTATTATTATTATTATTATTATTATTATTATTATTATTATTATTATTAT